TTCTCTAGTACTTTTGTAATGAAAGTATGACTTGAAAACTACTAGCCATTGTAAGAGTTGCTGATAATCAGTTCAAAAAGAAAACAATCAAGCAAAGTGAACTCGAAATTGATGACAACAAAGTATTTGCCGATTGACGAGTTTTGAGTTCATATTTATAGATCGTTAAAACCATGAAAATCTCTGCAAGCAAGCAAAATAAAACAGATTTATTACCCTAAAAATTCATAAAAAAAAGCGGCGAAAACCAGATTCAACCAGACCAGACTGCTAATTAATAAACATCGTTTACTAAATAAGTTTTCACCCAATGATCTTTCACTTTTTGATTTATTATTGAAGATTCGAAATAGGAACAGATCTATGTGGCTAGCAAAATCAACATTAGAAACATCTATATAGGACAATCCTCGCATAAATCTCCACTTGACTAATACCTATAATGATGAAAATTTCAGAAAATATTTGATTATAATCGAGAATTCACTGAAAAAAAAAACTTTCAGGTAAATGGTTGAAACTAGTCAAAATTACAGGTTACTTTTTGATGAATTCTATCAAATGTCATGCTAAAGATACTCAAAGATAACTTAATAAATCAAACAAACTATAACCGTTTAACATGAAATTTTTATTGTTGATAAAGGTAGCATTAAGCTCTCGAATGAGTGGTCAAATGTTATGAGATATATTACTAATATCAAAATATTCTATAATCTGACTCTTTCGTACTTTTAGATACTGTTTACCTGATAGTAGAACTTTTGACCACTACATTAATTCTACATTTTCTGACATTATTTATTTATATTACAAACTAACAATAATTATTCTTTTTGTGCCATAATTGACAATCAGTAAAAATCAATTCAACTTCTATGAATTTGATATATTTGACATTGTTAAATAATTTTTTGTAACTTGTTAAACTCAATATAACATTACAGTTTGACGGTATTCGCATCACTATCGATATTCCATGATAGAATGATGGTCAGAAACTACCCGATCGTTTAAGTATCACACTATCACTGCTTGATTATCAGTATATGGGCAGTTTTTGCCGGCTTTAATTCACATATGCCTCCATCAAAGAATTGATATTAACAATACCAGAGTTTTAATATATGGCACATCTCTTAGTGGTATATTAAATTTCGAAATACTTTGGTTATTTATATTTTAATATAATTCTTTTCCTTTACTCATAATGATAACAATTAATGAACTATGTAAGCTTAGTGAATCATTTCTTGAAGCATCAGTCTCATGAATATATATATATATATGACTCACATAATTCCGACTACAAGATGATTCATCAATTTTGTGGAACTTTCATCATATTATATAAATCGGTTTATTGAAAAAATTCGGCCATTGTTTCTCTTGTTTCCTTGACAAACCTCCGAAATAAGACTATATCGATATATTCTATTTAAATGACTACTATCAATATAATTTAAAAAGTCAAATATTTTTATGATATTCTCCAAGAAAATTTATTGCATATTAATATACAAAAAAAAATATCATAGAGGTCGTTAGTAACGTTGTTTTGACATAGAATGATTGGTATTTTTTTGTCATTCTTGATCATATTGTGTCTGTATGATATTATTTCTATAATTATTTATATGGTCGATTGAATACTATAAATATTTTTGTCAATTGTTATATGCGTGTATTTTCATATTTATTTTTTTGTTATTGACATAGGAAATTTCTTGTAGATTATTACTAATTCTAAAATAAATATTGAATTGTCCTTGACTATTCTGATTCATTCTTCTTATTACATAAATATATTATTCATTTTAATTATTCACATGGATACATCAAGTTATACAGGTTTACCAAATAAATTATGTCAAGGTTTAACATCGGTCAAATCAACATTAACAACAGGTCATATACTTGAAAAATCAGAAACAACATATGTTGATAATCGTGATAAATTTCATCATCATATGGCACGTAGTGTCTTAGGTATTCAAGCACCATTAAAACTTCAAACAGAATTACAAATAGCCAATAAAATTGGTCGTTTACCATGTTTACCTAGTTCACGTTTAATGCTTGATGTTTTACGTGGTACAAATGAAGATATATCATTTGATGATATTCTAAATAATCCAAGAGAATTTGGTGAACTTCAAATTGATCCACATTTAGCTATGGATAAACATGATCATTTGTTTTAACAAAAAAAAGAAAGACGAAAGACTGCAATGAAAAAATAAAAATATGTTTAATTATCATTTCTTTTTTTTTATTGTTATTTTATCCTCCGATTAATTTCGATTGATGTTCTTTTTTCTTTCTTCCTTTCAGATATGTTTATATTCTAGTATAAATTAATTATGCCAAAATATACTAAAAAAAGTAAAAAAAAAAAAAAACGAAACATTGTTTTTCTCTATAAAATTTATATTTTATATTTCTTAGATCGGCCTCCTCGGAGTAGGATGGCAAAATCAGGTGATGATGATTGTACATCAATTGATGATGGTGTTAGTACTTGTTCAAATATTTCTGATGCAACAAGTATCTATGATGATAGTGAAAGTAAGAATATTATTAATAAAAATTGTTTTCTTAAGTTATGTTGAATTTTATCGTTAGTAAAAATATTTTGACAATGTTGTATTTCCATAGAATTAATTCAAATTATATTAAATGAATGTAAAATTTATCGAATCGGTTGATCTCTTGGAATTTACCTATTAGAGAAAAATACGTTTTTTTTTTTTTTCAAGAAAATTTTGTAATAGTCTAAAATAGGACCGTCATAGGTCAATGATTACGATGTTCGACACATGTATTCACCAGGTACTATGTTCGAACTTCGACATCAACAACAGAGATTTATATAGTCAAACTTTTTGTAACTCGAAAAATTTTTCTTCGTGTAAATTAACGACAACTTACATATTCAAAAATGTTCTATATAATTTAAGATTAATGTTCTATCACAAATCATATCTAATTTAACAATATTGTAAGCGAATAAATACATATGTTGAAATGATTGTTAAAATCTTGTTATGCGAAGAAATTCTAAATTTAAGATGATTCTGTTAAAAATTAGTACTATAAAAAAAGGCACACTAAATACCAATGAAGTTTAAGATAATTTCCGTCAAGTTATGTTATATATGAAAATAAATGCGAAAACCTCGGATTTAAATCCGAGTGTTATGTGTACTGCGAAAAGTGAAGAGATATATTCACTGTTTTCTATCAACTGAGCCATATTTAGCCTATTTGCTTTTTGCATGC